TCTTTCCTTTTTTTTCCTTCCTGTTAATCTGATGGATGGATTACAGTTTGCCCTTGCACGGCCAGTTGTACTTTCCGTCAGAACTGGAGATTCCAACCCTCATTATATCATTTCTGTAATGCAAATGGTTATGTATAGAAGGAGATTTAATTAATCCCCTGCTGGTTGGTAGTGTACCCTAAAGCAAACACAGTCAGCAAAGGAAAAAAAAAATTAAAACACCAGTGCATGGTACCAGGTCACTGACTGTCAGTGGAATTTCATCATCTGTGAAATATTAACTTATTAACTGAAACGTATTTACTCTCATAGCTGTAAAAATATTTGTCTGTTGTCCCAAGTGAGGACAGCGAAGCTACCTTGCAAGAAACCAAGGTCAAAGGCAATCTCAGGAATCGTGCTGTCTGCTCTGGCAGAAGTATGGAACATCCTGTGTGGCGATGGTTCTCCCTTTAATTTGCAAGGACTCCATTTAAGCTGCCATCAGTGCACACTCCAGCATCCAACTTTGCCTGTGGGTCTGTGCCATATGCGCAGCTCCGTATTCAAGGACAAATTACAAGACTGAGGGAAAGTGACAAATCTGAGTGATGGGCTCCTGGTTTTTTTCACACTTTCATAGCGTAATGTGTCTGTTTAAAGGGTGTGGGCTGTGTTGCTGGTCAAGGCACAGATAGATTTCCAGGCTTCATTTCAGTGTGCAAACACCTGTGCAAAGAGCCAGCTCTCTTCCTGCTGCCGCCTGAAACGGTCCTGTTTTCAGATGCAGTTTTGGTGTCTGAGAGCTGACAATTGAATAAATTTTTCAGTATCTATGCACTAAACAATGTATTATGTAAACAGGGAAAGTGGTGTTTGACTTGGCCAATGTATTTTCCGTCCTAGCTTCCTTGCTGCCTCAAAAATAAGGATTCAGTCCCATTGTCAAACCTGAACTGTACCATGATACGGTGTCCAACTGACTTTATATCCTCATGATCTGAGGTGATAAGATAAAAGGAAACAAATGTAAGGAACTCTTTTGAAGGCAGGTATTTGAATCTGCTTTTTGTGAATTCCACAATGCTGAATTTCTTTCCCAAGATCCATTTTTAACTACTTGTCTGAAAATTTGCTGCTCCTTTTGTCATGTAGAGATCAAGTTGCATGTTTAATAATTATGCCTTGGAATATGGAACTGATACAAAAAAATTAACTTTCAGAACAGTCTGTTCTTGTCATTTGGGTACTGCAAGATTTAATACACTCTTTATTTTTTAGGATCTGTGGAAATAGTTCTTTATTTCCCCTTCTGAAAGTTCTGTGTGAATAATGTGCACCAATCTTTTAAAATGTTCTTGTGCTATTTAGCACTTCATATAAATCAAATATAAATGTGAGCCTCTATTTTAAGGGTTATATTGTTGACCTAGAGAGCAGGTGGCATGGGGGCTGGCTGAAGTAATAATGGTAATATAAATATAGCTACTGGCAGCACAAGTGCTCGGGGAGGCAGATGTGCTGTCGGAAGGGGCAGTTTAGAATCTTGCATGTTCATGTGTTGTTCTCATCAGAAGGGTGGTCTGAAATGAAAAATGTCCTTTAGGGTAAACTGGCTTATTGAAAGGATTACAGCTGCACCCTGTAAATAGTGTTTCAGACCAGGTAGTCACAGCTCAGCACTCTTTTATTGGTTATCTCCCCTCTTCAAATGTGATTTATTTTTTCAGGATACATGGACATATAATGCCAAACTCCGTTATGGTATGCATCAAATCACCAGGCAAATCACACCACCTCCTTCATAATTTACTAACTAAAACATTTAATCTGTGCTATAAAACTGATTCTGAGTAGAGTTTAACCTTTGTAGGGAAGTGCTTGTGAAACGCTGTTGGACTTTTATGTTTTGCACAATTACTGAATTGTTGTTTTTGTAGCGCTGCTTCAATATGTTTGAAACTACCCTGTTATGTCAAGGTGTAAACTCTCAGTTTGTCCCATTGCACACGTTAGTGTTGAGCCATCTTAAGACACGGCTGAGTCCCCACCCTGTGAGTGGATCCCCATCCCTGGTAGGCATTTCCGTTGTCTGCTTGATCCCCTGGAGACCTGCAGTGTTCTCCTGACAGTGACCACCCTCAAACAGGTGCCCTGAAACAGGCCATCAGTTGTCTGCATTCTGCCCTCTCCTTCCTTCCATCTCCAGGCCTTTTCTTTCTGGGATGTGACCTTTTCAGACACCAACTCACCACTGATTTGGGAAAAGCAGAGGATGTCATCACGCTGCTCGTGGCTGTGGAACATCCAGCTCAGACACTTTTGCCTTGGCCCCGCTGTTCATGGTCTGGTTTGGGGGATTGTAGGTGCTGTGTTACCAGCCCTGCTTTGGAGAGGCAGAAAAGGGTGAAGAGCTGGGAGGGTTCTGCCTTGGCATCTCTCCAGAGGACAGAAAAGGTGCCGTGGAGGTTGGGACAGGGCTCGCTGTATCGTTGTTAGGGTTTTTGAAGGGGGTTTTAAGACTAATATGAAATGAGGCGTAGTGGAACAACAGGTATAAAAATTGATTGTTTTGATTGTGCTCTTTGTTGTCAAGTCCACGGTGGTATTAAATGTGAGCTGGTGCCTATTGATTCCACAGCTGCACTGTGTTTGTCAAGGTGGAGCTGCAGAAGGAAGGCAATTGCTCCATGGATAGGATAATATTTCAGTTGCATTGAGATGTCATCTGCTGGGACTTGCTTCCTTCCTCGCTTGTGAACTCAGCTGATCACGGTTTTCAAAGGCACAAAGCTTTCAGGAGCAAAGCCCAGGGCAGTCCTCCTTCCAACCTTGCATGCATTTAATCCTGAATTGCCTATATTATAGGAAATATTAAAGGTAATAATTGTGTGAGTCAAACAAATGTTCAGTAGAGGAAAGGACAGGATTTGTCCGTTCCTGTTCCTGGACCATGTTTCTTGTGGTGCTATGTCTGTAAGTCACCATTACTGGAGCTGTGCTGCTGCAAGGGAGTGTTCTCTAAGTGACTTTTCAGCCCTAATGACTAGAGCAAAGCTTGTAAAAATGAACCCTAAAAGCTAAAAAAAAACCTCTAGAAGGTAGATAAAGAGACTTAAAGGTCACTGTTTTGCTTTTTCAGCCAGTACCATGACATTCCAGAGCTTTATACATTCATTCTGAAAATTTCTGGGGCTGCGTTGGAATAAGCAGAAATATATAATTTGAATGGAAAAATTGCCCTCTGCCGAAAGGTGTCGTCCTCTTTAAAGAGGATAAATTAAATACAGCTGCTCATGTGATGTAAGAGATGTGTATGCATGTGTAAATTCTATACTATCTACACAAGCAGAATAATATATAATACCTATATCTTACCTATTTATTAATCTATCATTTGCAGTGGCAAAAAGCTGCCTTTGCTACGTAGGCTTCATGGTTGGAAAGAAATTCTTCCTAACAAATGAAAGTGGAAGAAGTACCTTTTTTAGAATATAAAACACACAACCTGTTATAGATGCTAATGATTTATTATCTTAGGCACTTGAAGTGTTTTGATTAGATCTTGACAAGTTTGTCTGATGACAGGAATTTATTTCTCGATGCTGTAAGCTGTCAGCCTTGTGATAATTCACACATGAAATTTGCTTGGTACTGTTAAACTGTAATGAAATTTCAAATTGTGGAGAACTCATACTTGAAAAGAATAACAGCCTGTTTAAGATTGATTTGTTTATTGATTTATTAGTTTTAGTGGCTGTAACTTTTTTGGTATCTTTGAAAAACTTGCAGGCAAGTCCCAGGCGTTACTGACCAGACCAGTCACTGACTGTCAGTAACACGGTCATGTCAGTCATGAACACTGTAACTAAAGACAGAGATTTTACCAGATTTTATGGATTTAATGTTTTTCCTATTGACTTTTTTTCCCCAAAAATTCATCGAAAACGCTGATTTTTATTTTTTTTTTTATTTTTATTTCTATTTTTCCTTAGAATGGATGACAGCCAGCTGGTATCGGCTGCGCTGGCACTTGCTGTGATCAGCCGAGGCGAAGCAGCCCGGGATCAGCGGGGGCTTGTCCAAGGTCTCTCCCGGCAGGGGAAGATTTTAGGGATCAAACCCAATAACCGGCAGGGAAGATTTTAGGGATCAAACCCAATAACCGGCAGGGGAAGATTTTAGGGATAAACCCCAATAACCGGCAGGGAAGATTTTAGGGATCAAACCCAATAACCGGCGGCGGCTGCGGCTGCCACCTGGCGGCGACCCTCGGGAGCGCAGCCCCGCCCGGCCGCCACATCCAGAGCCGGGAGCTCCCTCGGGATGCCGCGTCCATCGCCGGCCGCGCCTCGGGGTGCTCGTGGGCTGAATAAAAACCTTAAAAAGAAAATAAAAGCTGATATAAAAAGCTTAACACACGCCCCCCGCCCGCCGTCTGCCTTTGCTGGTGCTGCCGAGCTGCAGAACGGTGCCGATGAGTGGCAGTTGTGTTTGGCCTCGGATTTTTTTTTGTGATGATATGTAACACAAGTATGTTCAAAACAACAAAAACAAAATAAAAACACAACACCAAAACAGCAAACCAAACCCCCAAAAGCCATTCCCTTACATTAATTCTTCCTTTTGGTGAGATTGTGAGGCCACACCGCACAGCTGCAGGCACGCTGCGTTCCACACTTCTGGAAGTGGTTTGGTCTGATGCTGATGTGCTATGTAGGACAGAATTAATTAGTGCCTTATCTGTGCTCAGGCTTGAATTTCAAAGTTATGTGTGCTCTGTTGAGTGCTTATGATTTTTGTGACTGCAATGACTGTTTAGACAAAATGAGCAACTTTTGTACCCCAGCCTGTGCTCTGTGAATGTGCAGCAGCAGTGCTGTGCAGTTCTACACTGAGCATGCGTTGGGAAGTGCCCAGCTCTTTATTAATTTCACCTCAGTCGTTTATTGATAAATAAATTAGTAGTATATAATAACAAGTGAAATTAACTCAGGTTTTCATTCTTATTTTTCTTCCAGAAAGAGCTCAGTCTCCCCAGAAGAGGAAGCTTGTAAGTATAATTATTCTTTATTCATCCCTTGGTTTGTTTTGAGCATATATGGCTGTTCAGTTGTGGAAGTAATTTAGATGGGCAGATGCTCTGTTTTCCCTGTTAGCATTTTTAAGAATCTGTCATGCTCTTGGAAACGGCTGGCTTGGATTTCTCTGAGACTGAAGCCTCTATTCATTTCCTTAAGTGTAGTAGGAAAAATAGTAGTAGTGTAAGCTTACTTCTAATTACCAGCTTGAGCTGATCCTGATATGGAAGTAGCTGTGGTGTTGAGTGTTGCTGCACTGACATCGCTGAAGTGACTCCAGAGAAGTCACTGATTATTTATGTGATATGGACAACTTTGATCAGTGTTCTTCAAACAGTCTGTTGACAGAAGTCTAAGCACGCAGCTCCTGGGCCATGCAGGTCAGCTGTTTGTGGAGCAGGCAGTCTGATAGAGGTGTTTCAATTAAGTAGCACATGTTGGGAAAAGTGGGCTTTTAAAAATGTGCTTTAAACAAACAGCAATTTTTTTAAAATGCATTATGATGTCTAAAGAATTTTAGTGAACTAATTTGTGTTTCAAGGGTGTTACAGAGCTTAGTTTCTGCCATGATTACAGATTTATGGTGGAAGAAATTACATTATTGATTGCATTATATAAAAGAGAAAGCTTCTGTCCTGCCTGCTGTTGCATTATGATTTAAAATTGTTTCCCAAAGCTTGTGGACTACGGACATGAAGCTCACAAAAGCATATATAACCTTTCTTCCTCAGGTTTCTGGTTCTAATGCGAAATTATTTTCAGCCTTCCAATGTAAGCTATCCCCTTTGTGTAAGAAACAACGTTTGGAAAATGCTGTGTAGTGCCAGTGATTCAGGGCTCAACAATACAACAGATCAAAAGGTCTTTTTTTTTTTTACAGTGAGGCATGACCAGACCTTTTTGTTTAGTTCATATGACAATGATAAACCAGTCAGGGAGTTATTTAAAGAACATGAAGCACTGACTGGTTTGGGGTATTTTTTTTTAACCAGTGTGCCTCAAAGGCTGGCTTAACGAGATTTGAGAGGTTTCTAAGGCAGGTGGTGTTCGTCATTTGAAGATTATGAAGGTTCTTTGATCAAATAGTGGAGCAGTGAGTTACCAGTAAGTTTTTTGTTAATGCAACTTAGATATTTTTGGACAAAACTTTTGGAATTGAAATTGAGGATGCTGGAGATATTCCCTTCCCTCATTCCAGTCTGGAGGTGGGTATGACACAAAACTGTTTATGTGTTTTCATTTGAAATATCTGAGATGCAAATGAAGTGCTTCATAGGTGTGTAGTGTTTTTTAGTGTTTTACTAGTAACTAAACCAAATGACTGAATCTTTTATTTCTATATTGACTTAACACCTTCAGTTTTCATTACTTGACAAGTGAATGCCTTTTAAGCCATTATTATGTGAAGAAATTTAGCAACCTGTGTCAAGAAGATCCAGGCCATAAATCTTAAGCACAAGGTGGGAGCTATTAGTGAGGTTGAAACTCTATGAAGAATTGAAATGTGTTAAGTTCTTTGACTGTGTTGTCTAGTTCATTACTTGCTTGTGATAATCTGGAATTACAAGTCAAGTACCAAGTGGAGTTGAGAACCAAATGATTTCTTGTTGTTTGAAAAGTTTAACTTTTAAGAAATGAGTACTGCATTGGACTGATATAAATTCCATATATATATATATATAAAAAATTGATAAAAATACCAGTATATACTGTTTGTGTTGGTGCTGTAGTATTAAGTTTATAGGCTCACTGAAAAGGGACTTGTGGAGTTGATGTCCATGATTTTCATATCCCAGTATCAGAATACTTACTTGGTTTAAAAAAAAATCCACTCAGTCTTCAAATTAGGAATTAGAGATATTTATATCAAGGGAATAATTGTAATTTATGTGTGTATATATATGGTAAAAATACACATATACTACGTAGAAATTTGTTGAACCGTTCTGTCGAGAAGGACAGATAACAACTGTAAGCAGTTCACAATTCTTCTGGAGGCTTTTCATCTGCTTGAATCAACAGTGAACTTCATAAATAAAAATAAATTCTGAAAGTAAAATTTATTCTGAAAAGCTGCTGTTGTGCTGTGGCTGATGAGTAGGGATAGTTATGGATGTAGCTGCGTCCTGATTCATTGACTGTCAGTCATTGACTTTTGTTCACCGACAGAAGCAGACGCAGGAATTGACAGGAGGATGAAGTATCTGGCTTGGAGCCAGAAAGCCTCAAGAGGTGCATCCATTTGCTGCACAAACCCCAGCCTTTGCAGCAGTTCAGTGGCAACTGTGTTATATACAAACATCAGCCCCTCAGCATTTTTTTGTGTGCTAGTTTGGAGGATGGGGTGCACTTAATACTGTAAAAAAATAATATTTGGGGAGGAAGTTACTGTTTTACAGCCAGCCAGAAGCAGAATGAAGACTTGATTTTAGCCTGTGGATTAGCTCAGGTATTTGTCATTGCTGAATGGAGAAGGATGAGCTTTTCCTGACAATGCTTCTAACTTTTTCTTTGTTTGACTCTCATTGCTTCATATTTCCTGGGTCAGTATGAGTAGTCTCTGTTTTCCTGCAGGGACTTATTGTAAGCATGGACAACAACAGTTGCTGTGCTTATTTGTGCTCAGGAAAAGGAGTGGAGTTACATGTCTCAATATTTTTGTCAGGAGAGCGTGAGCAGTTTTCCTAAAGAAGGAAATTCATCTAAAGAAGGTCTTGGATAGAAGCTGAAGAGAATGAATGGTGGGATAGAGCCTGTGAAATCTGTTGATGAGTGGCTCTGTTTCCATATTAGCAGAAAGGAGCATGGGCACAGTGTAAAGGATGGCTTTGCCCTTAGATGTCTTGCAGTCTTATTTTGAAATAATCAGCACAGAGTGAGCAGACATGTAAAACAGATGGGGGAATTGTATGCAGGGTGACATTAAGAGAAATGCCTAATTATTTAGATACAATTTTGTTGTAAATATGCTTAAAGTGTTTGTGTTTCTGTAGGGGAGTTATGTTTAATACACTAAAGGAAATTATACTCAGCTGAGTTGTAGGCTGCTAAGAGGTTGAATAGTATGAGGAAAGGAACAAGTAGTTCTATTCTGTCTCTGGTGTGGTTCAGTAATCAGAGTTCAAAGTTTTCCTTTAATGAATTATGCATATAAATGTATTGGTTATGTTTTTCCCCGTGCTTTGTTCACAAAAGAAATCATTACCATTCATGAATATTTTCTTTAATTTCAAATAGCGAACGCGGAGTGATAGACCCAAACTTTGATCTCCAGCCTATTAGTGGAAGTGGTTTAATTATTTTCAGCCATTACCCTGTTGTGTTCTTTGGGAGCTACATCGTGTACAGAGATGGGGTTTTTGTGTTGTTGGCTTCAGCTTTCAGATGGTTTCGATGTGCACCTGCACGTGGAGCCTCGAAAGGACAGAGGTGGGGACTGTGCAGCGAGACGGGGTTGGTGCTGCAGCTCCTCTGCGTGCTCCTGGGTTTAACAGCAGCTCAGCACCCAAAAGGCCAGGCTGCAAAGTGCAGTTCTCACTGTGGCTGCAGGATGCACAGCCCCAGCCTGCAGCTCTCTGTTTCTTCTGGTTGCCTCCTCGGTCGCTAAATCCAGTTGGGGTTGCGCTTGAGCCGTCTGGTTTCTTGTTCAGTTCCCCGTTAATAAGAAATGAATAATAAATGTAGTTGTTTATAACGTGAACTTTATTGACTTACTTCAGGCTTTTTAGTGAAAAACGTGGGTTTATGTTGGAAATCCTCATGGTTTCTAAGGCAGGGTTCACTAGTGTGGGTTGCTGTAATTTTTGGGCTATCTAAATGAGTAATTTGCTGAAGAGGAAATATGGCTTTCCCTCATTATGTCTAAATTTGAAAAGAGTGATTCCCTCAGCAAACTAAATTTGCTAAACCAGTTTTTAACTTCAGATATAAGTTATTTTTGTTAATTCTTTCCTGCTATCAATGATCTGTATGAAATATACTTTAAACTCTGTGTACAAATGGAAAAAGAACATGGAGGCATAAGAAACATGAAAAAAAAATTTTGATACAGAGTATGTTCAGTAAAAATACATATTTATATAAATCAAATATTATAGACTGCTGTTTTGATGGTGATAGGTGCTAGTAAAAAGTAGTATTTACCTTATATTTTTATGTCTACCTCTATGAAATATGGTAAGCAACATAACAGTGTTTGCTAAAGACTTGTTCAAGCCTTTTATGGTGGATTTTATGCCTTCTAATTGCTTTTCAAGGCAGTTTATGTCCACTGTGGGACTTGTTTTCTCTTGTTCTCTCTCCTTCTCTGCACAACCCTTCTACTTACAAACCTCTGAAGGGTCTTAGTTTCTCCAGCCCTAGACATTTCTAAGGGTGTTTCATTAAACAAATCTTCATCATAATTTGTTAAACTTACTCCCAGCTTCCTGACAGTAAAATAACACACAAACACACCAGGGAATTTCTTTGGGAGGATGTGCTGAATTACGTGTATTCTTTTTAATGTTTAGACCTTGAAAACAACATCAAGTTTGATGGCAGGAAAGAAAATTTCTGGCCTTTAGTGCTGGTTTATGTCTTCATGTTGACATGCTCAGGTGCTGTGGGAATTTCTTCTGTATCTGCAGAGAAATGGAGTGTATCATTCTGTTTCTGCTCATCTTGGAGGGTGAGTGTTTCTGCTGGAGATGGATCGATGCCATTTCCCTGCCAGGAGCAAGTGCTGTTGCCCCAAGGGTGGGGAAGCCAAAGTGTTAGAAACAGATGAAAAATGGTTCTGAGAAGGAGAAGGGAGTTGTGCTACTTTGGCACCCTGTTCTGATTTGGATCTGGAAATAAAGTAAGCAGTAATGCCTCCAGTCAATGCTTTCTGCTTGTGATTGCTTTTTATAGATGGAGAGAGAAAGAGGTGGCCTCTTCTGACCACCCTGTCCTTCTCTGAGTGCGTAGAAGCAGCTCACGAGCAGCGGAT